TTGCTTGATTTGACTGGCAACGACATATTTATTAAACAAATATTTAGAATCTAGTTAGGTTAAGCAACCATATTACACTAGTATAACTGCTTAAGGTTAAAAAAAATAAAAATAATAATAATATTTTTTAATATTTTTTTAAATAAACAAAATTATATATAAAAACATAACTATATATATAAATTTTATTTACTATTTTTTATAAAACTTTTAAATTGCTTTAATAAAAACAAAATAATTTTTTAAAAAATCAATTTTATTAAAATTTAAAGTTAGATTAAAAAGATTATATTATTTAAAATATTAGTAAAAATTACTTATTATTTATAAATTAATAAATATTTATAAAATTAAAAAATTTAAATAAAAAAATAAATAATTTTTAAATATGTATAACAAGTAATAAATATTTTTTTAACTAAATTTTAAAATTAAAAATAATCAAAATTATATATATATTATATATAATTATTTATGGTTTTATTTTTTAAGATAATATATAGTATATTTTTAATAAAACTATAAAAAATAAATTCATATAAGCCTTGTTAAACGGTGCCTTATGTACTTAGTACACCTGTTTAATATTTCAAAATTATAAAAATATTTTTAAAAATACTAAAAAAAAAAATACTTTGTAAAATTTGTTACATATAAATTATACGTACTCTATTCTACTCTATTATTATAAAGTTATATTTGTACTTATTTAAGCGTTAAATATACTAAGTGCATAAGAGCAGTTTTTAAATAAATTCAATCTATATTAATATTTATAAAAATCATAGTTAAAAAAGTTACAGTATCTTAATATCAAAAAAAATTACCTGTTTTTTTTTTACCAATTAAATTAATGCGTATATAAGCATATATACATATATATATACATAGATTGGGTACGAAGTATATATTTCTTTTATTAGCAAATTTGCCTGCTCCACTGGTTAAGAAGTACTCACCACACAGACCTAATAAACATTAGTTTTAGGGAATTAACAAAATATATACATTTTAATAAATATTGATTGTTTATAGTATATATATATATACAGTATACGTATATATACTATAATTTAATATTTAATTACGTATTAACAAAAAATAATATGTACGTATACGTATAAGAAATTATATATACGTATAACGATAATACAAAAAAGATTAGTATGATTTGAAACGAAAATATATTTAAATATTACGTAACAATAATATAAATTAATTGGCTTTAAAGCTTAAAAATTTATAATCAAATAAAATTAAATATTTTCCAAAAACGTAATCAAAATCATTGGATTAGAAAATCATGCTATAATGGGTACATGTTTATTTCTTGAAACGTGGAAAACAAATTTAGAATATAAAGTAATAAATATATATACAATATCAATAAGAAAACAAGAAAAGGCCAGGGATTATCAAGATAAGTTAAGCACAAACTGAATCCGAGGATTGATAATGAATTTTTAAGGGAAATTTTATAACAGAAACAAAAAAGATATAAATAGTATTTTTCTTGAGCATCTGAAACTTAAGAGAAGCAGAAAAAAAAAAGGGACAAAAAAGAGGCACCTAGGTAATTCAAAAAAAATTCAATACATATAATACATATAAGTAATATATATGCCAATAACGGACCACTTGATTTCCGTTGCATTTATTTCAATAAAAAAATATTTGGAAGAAATTCAGAAATTTAAACTTTGAGAAGACGTAATAGTAAAATTGATCAATTACATACGTCATGAAGCATTTCTTTGACAACCATTATAGGATTCATTCAAATGATTGCGTGGAGTAAGATTATAATTTTCGCGTTCCGCTCTTACCAACTCAACCGTAAATATATAAATGAGCAACCAAATGAGTTTCGATTGTCAATCCTCAGAAGCAAATGTTTTGCGTATTCAGATAAGGACGAATAATTTCATGCAGCGATTCGCATATTGTCTGCTAAAATAACCTTTATGCTAATCCTTAAATTGATGATTTTTTGCAAGTTAGATTACTTAAAAGATCGGTGGACGTGGCGCAAATAGATGATAAACTTTTTTTATTGTAAGAGATTAGCCACTAATCCACGTGAAAATCCGAATAACATATGATATTTCGCGTGTTAATTTAATTCTGCCATAAATGTATTACAATAGACGGATGAATGAAAATTAGTAGTGTTAATTATTTATTATATTTATTTATATACAGTATATATATTTATTATACTTATATATTTATTATACTTATTATACTTATTATATTTATTATATTTATTATATTTATTATATTTATTATATACCTCTCACAATACAGCAATACTAATAAATACTAATAAAATATTCACATCGATAAAATAAATCTTAGATTCAGAGGTTCGGAGATGGTTGAATTAAGTGTCTTCGTCGTATCTACCTACTTTGCAGTATAAAAAAAGGTGAAAATCTGGTGTGGCTTTGCGAAATAATGAAAGAAAGTGACCTTTAAATTCGGGTAAAAAAAAGGTTGTACAGAGTTTTGACTTGTTGACCTGCTGACTTCACATGCCGAAAATATTCTAAGGTCAGCCCATATTACCACATGTAAAAACAAAAATTTATATTTACTATTTGAAAAATATCTATTGTTGTTTTTAAAAAAAAATTGATAGTCAAGTATAACTCATATGAATATCGTGCACTCATTGCATAATGCAACCAAAACAATTACGCCGCCTCCCTTTCTAAACTTTTTCTCTTCTCATCCCTCGTTTATCTCTTTTTTTTTTCTTTTTTTTAAAGTTGAATTATTTCATCACCTAAAAAAAGACATTCTCGAGAAAAATACAAGTTATTCGAGTTCTACCCTTTTTCATAAAATTTTTTTTTTTGTATTTTACAATTTTCCTCGTTGTCACTTATCAACTTTCCAAAGAATAAATAAATAAACTGTAGTATTTGTTTGATATTTTCTTACATCGCTTTTTTATATACTTTTATTTCTTCCTTCCATTTTACAAACGTGTGTACAATATATAAAATGTATAATAATCAATTACCTCCGTTAAGTACTACTGATAAACCTGTGAATGGTGATTCACAGGATATAAAACAAGAACAGCACGATGGTTCTTTTGAATCCAATATTCCTCCAACTCCTTCTCCTTCTTTGTCTCCAACTCCTACTCGAACAGACCTTCCAAATAATCACTCCAGAATGTCTATAAATCAATTATGTAACGATACTGACGATGAGGTAAAAGAAGCCGCGGCTGTTCTAGAAAATATGAAACAAGGTCTTCCATCAATCGGTAAATTATATTTGATATATATATATATATATATTTATGTGTATATATGTATATATATATATATATTAATTTTTGTATTAATTTATATTAATTTATATTCATTTATATTCTTGATAATATTTTCATTGTAGAAATACCTCCTCATTCTACACAAATAGAACACGATGGTTCAGGGCAGATGCCAACCTCACCTTTAGGTGAAACGGACAATACTTTAATGTCACGAATAGGAGACGGTATAGGCTTTTTGCGAAAAGGCATGACTTTCTATGAACAGGGTAACTACCCGTACATGAAAATGGTCGGGTCACAAGTTTCTAAAATAGCAAAACCTGTTATCGAAAAACTTGAAGAAATGATGGATAATAATAGTAATAACAATAATAATAACAATTCCGCCGTTGTTTATACTGCTACTCCAAATGGAGATTTATCGTACGGTTCTTCTAAAGATGATGTAATAATCGGGGGTGAAAAGGATGGGGCTTCTGGTCAAAATGATTGTGAATCTCGAAAAAGGGGTGTTCATGGTGAATTAAGAAGTTCATCTCCTTCATACAGATCACCCTCTCGATCTCATAGATCTTCTCAATCAAATGGTTCTCAAAATAGTTCTTCTCTTTACTCTTATCCTAATAACAACAATTACACAGCGTCAAATCCTACTACTACCGTACTACGTAATAGATTACAGCAGGTGCTTGTTGGTGCTGGCACCGCTGCTGGCGCCGCTGGTGCTGCTGTTAGTGAAGAATCTATGAAAAGTCTTAAATACTGTCTTCAATGGTTAACTGTATGTATTTTATTTTTATTTTTATTATTTTTATTTTTATTATTATTTTTATTATTATTTCTCATTACTTATTATTGATCCATTTTTTAATCCATTTTTCATTTAAATAATTTAAATAGTATGCTACTCAGCACATAGGAAACCAAATTGCTGCCTTAAAAAGTATCATTGACAGTTTTACCTCACCTGCTTCAAGTGGTGCTCTTATAACTCAGTCAACTTCAAAACTTGCTTCAATTAAAAAGGAAGTCGTCGATACTCTTCGCAAAGTCATCGAGGTTGTTTCTAAATATGCCAGCATTTGTCTTCCTGAGCATGCTAAACATAACGTCAGAAGTTTTATATTAAGTCTACCTTCAAGATGGGCTTCTATCAATCATTCTGATCACTCTTCTTCGGCTTCTCCCACCGCTTCTCCTCGTTTGGCTCCTTCAAATGCTCATATCAATCAAACCACTGATTACGCTCGTCGTTTGTTAAGTTTAGCAAACGAATCCCTTGATATGCTTCGTAGCGTTGCTGGTATATTTAGTGAAACTGTCGGCCGTGCTGAAGCTTGGGTTGAACGTTTAAGTTCTTTTGGTGTAACTGGTGGCGGTGCTAATGCTATGGGTCATATCCATTTTGATAGCATTCCTCAGCCAAATGGTAACGGTTATACTTACAGTCAAGCTACTAGTAGTCCCCCATCTCATTCTCCTGTAACTCCTCGTTCGCGTAGAACTTCTACTAATTCGGCCCGTATGAACAGGAGGTTTCGTACTACTCATCCCCTTATAGATGATGAAGATGATGATTTTTCCGATTCTTCATCTGAATCTGATGCTGAGAGTATGCGCATGGAGATGGATGGTCGTCGTGTAAAGTCAACTTCTCATTCTAATGGTTCATTAAATGGTGCAAAGAAAAGAAAAAAAGCTGGAAAAAAATCCGAAAATGATAGAATGGATCTTTCTTAGTTATTGTTTTTTTCCACTATTGTATATCACAAAATGCTCATTTTTGCATTAGTTTTTTTCTTTTCCTTTTTATATGTTTATCTTTGTTATGTTAACATTAATGTTAAAGAATTATAAAACCATGTTATTATATAATTATCGTTTTATGTTCAGAGCTAATTTATGTACGTACGTATGGTACTTTCTTATAAACGTACGTACGTATTTTGTTACTGTTAAATTAGCTATAATAAGGTATGTGTCAAAGTAGTACGTAATAGTTGTACCGGTACAGTAGTGCGGATTTGGACAGACGTACGGACATCTTAATAAATTTTGATAGTACATACGTTTGTAAAAATTTAATCTTTCTTTATTTAGTATGTACGAATACGTATTGAACTTTTTTTTATCAGATATTTAATCTTTTTCTTGCATATAATTTTTTAAAACATAAATATTTAAATTATTTAGCGTTAGCTTTTTTTTATAAACCAAAATTTTGATATATTTGGTTTTTATAAATTTAAGCAATTTAGTTTTTTTTTTTTCTAAGTTCTAATTTTTTTTTAACAAATAAATTTAAATATTTTGTTTTATTTAAATTTATTATACGTATTTTAATATATATAGCTATATATATACTGTATATTTAAATTTAAGTTATTTTCTAATAAATTTTGTATATTTAAAAAAAAAAAATTTAAACTATAAACAATTTTATATATAGTATAAATAATTTAAAAAAAAAAGAGCATTAAAAAACAGTACAAGTCAAAATCAAAAATATTATTAATTTATTAGTTTAATATTAAATTGTTTCAAAAAAAAATTTGACATATATATATTAAATTTTTTTAAAATTACACAATTAATTTTTTTTTTTTTTTTTTTTTTTTTATAATGTCAAATCATAACTTATATTTTATTTAGTTTTTTGTATTACTTTTATATATAGTTACATTACATTTGTGCTACTAGATTACTTTTTGCTCTAAACATCTAATATGATATTACATCTACATTTTTCTATATACTTTGTTTTGTAACCTTCATTATATATTTCAATTATTGTTACTAAACTATCAAAAAGGTTGTAGATTACCTTGTTATATCTGAATTTTTTCTAATCTTTTTAATCCAACAGCAACTCTTTTATCTATTATCTGCAGTAACCTATTCTTTTTTTAAATTAGTTGACTTTAATAGTTTTTTGATCTTTTTACTACTAGATTAATATACACAGTTTAATTTACTTCCTAGTATCCTAATGATACAGTTGAATTTATCAAGATCTGGATTATCAATTTGTAGTTTATCATATATCTTTTTTAAATGTATTTTTATAGTTAGTTTAGTCTACAGCTTGATTGCATATGCTTCTTGTAAACTTTTCTATAGGTATACTGTTAACTACATACTGATGTATTACTAGCTTGATGTTGCAAAAAGACTTAAAATCTTGACTTATTATACATATATAAGTATAGTACCTATTATCTAAGTTGTAATATACAACTGCTTTGAGAAATATTTATTAAGTACTTTTGGAATATCTGCCTAAGATGTTCTAATTTTGATTAGACCAATCCTTTGATACAGATTTTTTCTATATATATCATATTGCTTATTACTCTAATTTTGGTTATATAATATTACCCTTCTAATCAAGTACTTTATAAGTTGAATACAAAGTTATTGGTACTGCATTGTCTTCTAAGAACTTATATATGTGATACTATTGTTAGCCAAATCTTCTGTAATATTACTGTTATATGTAATACTTTCATTCTATAGAGTTAGTTTCTTTATAAAAATTTTTAATCTATTCTTATACTTTATCTTGAAACTTTCTACAAAGCTTTGTATTTAATTTGGTTTCTTATAAATTTTAAAGTTAAAATTCTAAAATTTTTGCCTTTAACCTGACTTGAACTATTGATCTTATTTGTAGAGAATTAGTAGTTTTACTATTAAGCTATAAGGCCCAATCCTTTTATACAATTAATTTAATATTATTTATTTAATATTATTTAATAAATTAACAAAAAACAATATATATTATTAATTATTTGATTTTTTTTTTTTTTTTTTTTTTTTTTAAGTTAAAGTCCCTATCTTGGAAGTTGCGATGTTTTTTATTCAAGTATATTAGGACACGACATGCCACCAAGGGCTCACCTTACATTGGAGATTACAACTAGCTATACATGCACTTTTGGTGCCTAATTTAAGTAGTCCGCTTACACATTACTATATAAGTTCTACACTAGTTGCCATACC